TTTCAAAATATTAGTTTAGAAATATTTGGAAAAGAAGAGAAGAAAGATACTAGAATCATAATTCCGTGGATTCTATGCGAAACCAACGTTTCAACGTTCGTCTCGCATTGATCTCTTCGGAGTTTTGATCCGAGTACCTTTCTCTCTTCTTTTTCAAATCTTTCAACACTATATCTAAAATATTTTAAAATTTTTGTTTATCTTTTGGGAGAAAACGATGGTTCTTTTATAGGGGACATTACGACTACTTAGCTTCGAACTTTTACGACTAATTAGCATCTTGTACCATCATTTAGTCGTAATCGAGTCGTACATTACGACCAATTAGCTTCAACCTACCATTAAAGCCTTGACCGAAATCCTAAACACGTGTAGTCGTACACTAGTCGTAATTTAACGACCAGAGTACGTTCACACGGACATGTAGTCGTATATTGGTCGTTACGACTAATTTACGTCTATTAATATTGGTAGCAATTTAACCTCTGAGTTACGACTAATGCTTTTTTAGACGTAATGTAGTCGTAAATGCGATTTAAAATTACGACTACACATCTGTAGTCGTAATACTTAGTCGCTATGACAACGTTTTCTTGTAGTGTATGTATTATATACTGGATAAAATTAACTATGTTACATACGAATGTTAAAAATAGGGGATTTGAGAAATGACATATCTTGTAATTATTCTAGTAAACTAAGGATATTCAACTAAAGGAGGTGAATAGGCTTGTAGAACTGCCACCTAGGAAATGGCATGGGTGTAATAAACACATGAAGTAAAGGTTACTCTCTAAAAATGTTCCTCAAATAATAGTGAAGGGATATATATATATATATATGTGACAATTAATAATTTTAATATTAATTATTTGTGCATCTTCCATCATCTATATTTGATTTATATTATTAACATAAAATAAACTAACATATTAACCATAAAATAAAATTTTAAATTTTTGTATATGTTATAATCAGATTTTTTTAAATGATGATAAATTATTAAATTTTTTAAAAGTCCACATTATTAATAGTTTAAATGATTTATTATAAATGATTATGAATCATATAAATAAACTTTAATTTAATAAATATTTAGAATAATATATATATATATATATATATATATATATATATATAATATACCATATAAAAGTACACATATATTTAAATTTCAAAATTCACATTAAAAATAATTTTAATTTATAATATTCAGATCTTATAGTAAAACATTATAACCTAAACATTAATTAAAAAACTTAAAACTAAATCAGGATTGATAACATCTCTTATATATTAATCATGAAGCATTACAACATTTTTTTTGTAGTCACGTGTCATAATGAAAATGATTTTCAAAACTCTTTGAAAAATGCGTTGGTCAAACTAAACATATGTTATATCTTATATATTAAAACAAAAGTCACGACTTGACTTCATGTGTGAGTTTTTAAAAAATGGACTATTACTAGAAAGTTATGTTACATTAATTATCTAATAATCTTATCATTATTATATCTTATGAAAAATTATATCTATAATAACAAAGATACGCTTAACAATTTGGTTTTGGTAAATTAGCCCACACCTACCAACTTAATCACGCAAAATATGTCAATAGATATCAGTTTAGAAATCTTCTATTATTTATAAGTAAATATGTCAATAATAGTTAAATGCATTCACAATATATTAACAAAAATCACATATTAGTAATATGGAATATTTATATACCCTAACAAAATTTACACCATATATATATATATATGATAAATTTATTTCGATGTAAATTTTTAAAATTATATTTTTTTTAAAAAAAGAAATTGTTTAAAAACTGTTTTTTAATAAAATTCTTTATAATATTAATTTATGAAGCTATAAGTTTAGATTTTAGCAAAAAATTCTTCGAAGTTTATGTTATCTTTTCAAATTAAAGTATACTAATATTTAATCAAACTCTATTTATATTACTTTATCTAAAAATGAAATACTAATCTAACAAACAATTAAATATAGAAGAAGAAACAAACACATGTTTGAAAAACATGTATAATATAGAAAATTTGAAACAATCTATTTGATTAAAACACTTATAATATAATATTATTATGTTTGAAAAACATTTACTATACATATCATAAATATGTGATTACTATAATATATACAAATTTACAAGTGAAAACAAAATTTTTATATAACTAACTATAAACGAAAACAAACACCCGCGCGGTTGCGCGGATCAAAATCTAGTTTATATTAAACTAACCATCATATTTAATTAGTAGTATACAAAAGAATATTTTCTATAACTTTCCTTTAATAAAAGCTACAGAATTACCTAATATGATTAACATATATATCACATAACTAATGATTATGAATAATAAATTTTTGATAACAATTGTTTATACTATGTACTTTTTATTTAATTCTATATTATTAAACAAACACATTAATCATATAATAAAAAAATTAAGATTTTTTCTTATATTTTATATTTAGATGTTTTTTAAAACGATCATAAATTACTAAAAATGGAAAAAAACTCACATTGAAAATTTTGTGATAAATGATAATGTTTTTTAGTTGAGTCAATCGTTTTAAATTGGTCTTAAAAATTTTTTAGTGATTAAATAAATGGATCATGTACATAATAGAGTGTGTTTTGGTTTAAAAATTATTGCATACCCAAAATTAAAATGAACCATCATCCCTTTCGTTTAAAATTTTGTTAAAATAAAAAATATAGAGTTGGGCAAAAAACCTGAATCCAAATAACCGAACCAAAACTAATCCAAAAAAGTAGTACAGATCTTTACCAAAAATTGGTTAGATATCTAACGGATTCAAAATTTTGATATCAAGAGAAGCGAAACTAAATCAAAATATTTCAGGTATCCAAGTGCACTCGAACCAAATTTACATACTTAAATATATTAATTATTTTTAAATTTAACATCTAAGAATATACAAAATACATGAGATGTTTTAAAATTTCCAAACTAATTAGAATGATATAAAATAGTTAATTGTACATTTTAAAAATAGCTAAACAATACTTCAAATACCAAAAATACTTGAAATATTTATTGATTTTTTCCAAATATTTAAAATAAACTAATTCTATGTTAAGTTTAAGTATTTTGGCATTCATTTTTTAAATTTATATGTTATATATTATTTTATTTTTTAGATTTTGAGAAATTTAAAATATATATGAACTTTAATTTTGTTAAAAAAAAAATCAAATGGGCTATCCGAACCTCTAAAGATTTAAACCAAACCCGTGAAGATTTAAACCAAATATAATCTAACCGAACCAAATGGTACTCGGATACCCATCCTAATTAAATGTAGAAAAAGTTATTTATAACAAATATATGTATTTATTTACAACATATATTTTTTAAAAGCTATTATTATCTAGTTATTAAGTTATACTGGTAATTCAAACTTAAGTAATGGTACCAAATGTCACCGATAATTTACTAACTTTTGTTTCATGCGATATACAGCCAAAATTTAAATATGGCAATAGGATTTATTTTCCAAGAGAAACAAAATACAAAATCAACTAATCAGCTTCTTACTATTTTCTTCTGCAGCCTCTTTTTCACATGAGACTTTTAAGTTGTGATAACTTATTTTCCGGGTAACCGAGAAAGATAACCCACAATATCATTAAACGGGAAGTTATAGTTTACACAATTACACACACAGATGGATCGTCTTAGATAGTTTCACACATTGAAGCTAACATTATTTCACATCTCACTGCTTTGACTAAGATACTTGATTCAGACCTTGATTTTAGGCTTCTTAACGATCATCACCGAGCAATGAGCATGATGAGCACAGTAATCACTGACGCTCCCGAGAACGGCCCTGTCCAAAACAGATAAGTGATGATTGTCAGGATCAAGAAGAGCTATGAATTTGAAAGACAGAGGAAATACAAAAAGAAAGAAGGAAAGAATTGGTGTACCTCTTGATAGCTCCATAACCATGGCTTCCAACAACGAGAAGAGAAGCATGGTGTTTATCAACAACCTCGCACAGAACATTCCTTGCATCGCCTTCAAAAACTTCTATCATTGCGCCATGAACCTAGACACCAAACCTAGCATGATTGTAGTATCTAACCAGAAAAATATATATAAAATTGTTAAGAAAAAGGTAAGACGAAAGCTTTTGGTTTGACTCAAAGGTTGAAGCTTTTGAGTGATAAAGAGATTCACACGACCTAAATCTTATCTAAACACAAAAGTCCAAGTCTTTTTCTATTCAAACTATCATTCCGGGGAACGCAAAGCTTTCAGTCTAAAGCAGGTAGTGAACGAATATGTCCGTACCGACTTGGTCTGACAGAGTCCTTTGGCTTTCTCGATAACCTTAACAGCGGTATGCTTCAAATCAGCATCAACATAAGGCACAACCTCCGCAGTTCCTGAACCAAACCCACAAATCATACAAAACCCTAGAGGAAGAAGACGAAAGTGTGATTGAAATCAAAGAGCTTACCGGGACCAGCGAGACCAACGGAGGCGACGGCGTTAGGCTTGGCGTGGACGATGATGAGTTTGAAAGGGAAATTGGGAGCGTAGGGAGCGAAGAAACGATCGAGAGTCCACTCCAATGCGTAGGTGCTCTGCTCACTTTCGTCGATACCCACTATCATCACTGGTTTCTCCTCTCCGCTGGTAGCCATCACTGTCTCAAACTATTCGCCGGCGCTGATCTTTTGCGTGAGGAAAACGCGCTCGCGACTAGAAGATCCTAAGAATGTAGCACACAAACAATATCCTTTCCAAGTGTATCTATACAAAGGAAGAGTTTGTACAACTGAAACAAACAGAGGGGAATGCGATACCTTGATGACGTGGACGGTCCTCGTTACTTCTTCCTACGATTATGGGTCGCTTTCTAGTTCATATGGCCCATGAATGGGTTTCTAATGTAATTTTGCAGGCTAGAGGCCCAAACTAAGTTCTGTGGAGGAAAATTTGGAAACATGGATCCATGAAAGTATTCACAGGTATGTCAAGAAAATGCAGCACACAATACATTTCGAGCAAAACTTCCAACTTGACTAACCAAATTTATGAATGAACAATTCAATCCGTTAAAACGACATTATATCAATATCATTGGAAATCTCTAACATGAACATCATATTATAAATCTATTAATAATAGAAATCAAAATTAATGTGAAGGATTTATGCCTTATAATCTTAAAAACTGCATTAGTTGAAAAGAAGTTCAAATGTCAAAGGATGTATATTTTATATTGAGTTGACTTTACATCATGCAATGGATATAAAACGTCTTGTTTAAAAAAAAATGTAAGGAATCTATTACGACTACGTTAGTAAAGCTTGGACTTGTAAAGAAACTATAAATGTAATTCCTTAAAGAACAAGCAATACAAAGGGTTTTAGAGTTTTACAAAGAAATACTCTCTCTCTTATAACAAATGATCGATCATCAATCTCGATACATTCTTCTTATTCTCTCCTAACATTTATAGTAAGCAAAAAGAATCTCCATGTCAGCCAACAGCCTACGTGCTCAGATTGTTGCTAACGATCTTCTCCTCTCATTCTTCTTATTCCTTGTCCTCTCTCACGTGCCTTCTAGATATTTTCCGTCCGCAACACAAGTTGCTCCTTCTCACGAGTCTCCTTCTTCTCTTGGGCGGGGCCTCTCCTGTGGTATTGGTACATAATCGGTGGTCTTATAGCCTCATATGTAACATTACCCCCTCCATTCAAACTGACCTTGTCCTCAAGGTCAAGTTCAGGAAACTGTTTCATCATGACCCCCTTCCATTCCCAAGTGCAGTCAGCTTCTGGTAGACCCTCCCACTTAATCAAGAGTTCCTCGTGTCCTGTAAACTCATTCACACGTTCTGCTAGTACCTTCTCTGGAACCGTTTCCATCACTCCCTCTGATGTAAGTTGAGGTGGTATCGTAGCCGGGGTGATAGACTCCCCCACAGCTTTTTAAAGCTGAGAAACATGAAAGGTTGGATGAATGCGAGCCTCCGGTGGTAACAAGAGTCGATATGCAACATGTCCCACCTTTGCAGCAACTTCATACGGTCATTAGAAGCGAGCTGAGAGCTTCTCGTTTGCTCTCCTGGCCAAAGATCTCTGATGGTATGGGCGAAGCTTCAGGAACACCATGTCTCCTACCTGAAACTCAACCTCCCTCCTGTGACCATCAACACGTGCTTTCATGGTCTGCTGCGCCTTAAGTAAGTGTTGTTTCAGTAGCACCAATGTCTCATCTCTTTCATGAAGTCGTGCCTCCAAATCTGCATTGTTTGTGGACCCATTCTCATAGCGTATCAAAGAGGGCGGTTCCCGCCCATAGACCGCTTTGAAAGGAGACATCTGTATTGCCGAGTGAAAGGAAGTGTTGTAACTAAACTCTGCCCACACCAAGAATTTCGCCCAGGTCCGGGGTTTTTCTCCTGCAAAACACCTGAGATATGTCTCCAATCCACGGTTAGTTACCTCCGTTTGACCGTCGGATTGAGGGTGATAAGCCGTGAAGAAGCATAGACTTGTACCAGACAAGCGAAAGAGTTCCTTCCAAAACTGCCCTGTAAAGATACGATCCCTATCCGATACAATAGTCTTTGGGTACCCATGCAACTTAACAACCTCTTGAACAAACACCAGTTCCACATCTACTGCAGTAAAAGGGTGCTTGAGGCTGATGAAGTGCGCATACTTTGACACAGTCCACCACTACAAGTATGGTATTAACGCCTTCTGACTTTGGCAGTCCTTCCAAGAAGTCAAGTGATATATCTTCCAAAATATTGACTGGAATTGGTAGTGGCTGGAGCAGACCTCCTGGTGCCAACGTAGGGTACTTATGACTTTGGCATGTATGACATGCCGCCACATATTTCTTAATATCCGACATCATCCCTTGCCAAAAGAACAGAGCCCCGATCCGCTTCTGTGTTTTAAGCACTCCCCCGTGTCTCCCATACTTACTGTCGTGGTACTCACGTAAGATCACTCCAATGAGACTAGAAGTCTTAGGTAGCACCAATTTTCCCTGTCTCAACAGTCTACCTTGAACTAGCTTGATGTCCTGAATAATCTTTGCCAGCTCTGGATCCTTCTCCACCTCTGATCCGACCTCCTCCAACTGAATTGCCACATGTACAGACACTGCAAACAGCTCAAGCACATGATTCTTTCATGACAATGCGTCAGCTGATTTGTTCTCCAGACAAGGTTTGTAGTGTATGTCAAATTCAAACCCCAAAATCTTGGCCAACCACCTCTGGTACTCCATGTTAATCTCCCTTTGCTCCAATAGAAATTTCAAACTCTTCTGATCAGTACTCACCACAAACTTACGCCCTAATAAGTAGTGGCGCCATTTTTGTATGGCAAATACAATTGCCATGAGTTCCCTCTCATAGACTGACTTCAGTTGCTGTCGCTCCGTCAATGCTTGGCTAAAATAAGCTATAGGACGCTGATCTTGCATCAATACCGCACCCAAACCTACTCCAGATGCATCAGATTCAACCACAAATAACTTCCCAAAGTCTGGTAAAGCAAGTACCGGTACTGATGACATTGCTAGCTTCAGTTGCTGAAATGCTTCCTTTGCTTCTATCGTCCATTTGAACTGATCTTTCTTTAGCAAGGCTGTAAGAGTTCTGGCAATGTCTCGGTGATTCGAAACTTACGTCTTTCGACATGGTCGCGTTCTGAACCCCGGCCGAAACATCTCCCGTTCCATCTCGATTCGACTTATCGTTCGAGTTTTACGATAAAAACCGTAAAACTTCGCTTTCTCGATAAAGAACTCGAAGAAATCGTATAAAACGGCAACGGTTAAACGAAACACCAAACATTGCCTAAACTATACGATTTATTCGAGATTTCTCGTTGAAATCATAAAAAACGCGTTTTTTAATAAAAAAACGTCGAGTAAATCGTAAAAAACGTATTTTTAATAAAAAGTCGAGTAAATCGTAAAACTTTACGATTAACTCGAGTAATTTATTAAAAACGATGTCAGATCAGGAAATGATCCCGTAAAAAGTCGGAAAACGGATTTATCGCAAAACGGCCCGGAAGGACCTAAAACGCGATAAAAACCCATCTCGCAATCGTAACGGAATCTAACCCGAAGATTCGATAACGTTTTGATGGTTTATTCACAGAAGGAGAATAAAAGGCAAGTTTGAAGATAAATAGAAGATTTCCGCAGAAGAAAAGGAAGGATCGAGGAAAATGGAAGATTCCCGAAATACTCAAATCCGGGCGAAATGGAAAGATAGAACTGTCAACGCAAGGAGTATATAAACCAGAGGCGTAGGGCAGAAGAGGGGGACGAAAATCAGACATAAAAAGACGGCTGTTAGCTTAGGAGTTTAGGACTTAGCGTTTAGACTAGCAATTCAGATCTTTAGAACGTTTCGACGTCTAAGTTCTTCAATTCTTCTTGTAACAGTTGTCGATTCTAATTTAATAAAAGCTTTCGCACAAGTTCTTACTCTCTGTTCTTTATTGTTCATCCATATTCTTTTGAATTCGTTTGTTTTAGTGATTTTCGCAGAGATCCAGGACCTCGGGAAAATTAGGATTTCATCCTAAGTTTCCATATTTGACGGAAAATCGACAATGTGGATTTCGGTTCCCACAGTTTGGCGCTAGAAGGAGGGGGGTCGGATTCTCTTACACAATAATCTTTAAAACGAACGAGAAATAACATGCCTAATCTGAACTGCGACGTCATCTCGTTCGAGAAAAGAGCAACGATCGATTCGGTCAAACCTCTCAACGATCTTCTCGTTATTGAGCTGACGATCCGGAATATGGATGTCGCGAGGATATTAGTCGATACCGGAAGCTCGGCTGATATCATCTTCAAAAATACTCTCGAGAGAATGGAAATCGATCTGTCTGAAATCGCGGAAAACGTAAGCCCGCTAGTAGGACTCTCGGGAGAAATTACTATGACCCTCGGAACGATCAACTTGGCAGTTCGCGCCGGGAGCATAATGAAAAACGTCGAATTCGAAGTCGTCGACCGACCCATGTCTTACAACGCAATCGTAGGGACACCGTGGTTAAATTCGATGCAAGCGATTCCGTCAACGTACCATATGTGTCTCAAGTTCCCAACTCCGAACGAAATCGAGACTATATGGGGAAACCGACGAACTTCGCAGGTTTGCTACGCCGCGGATTTAAAACGAAAAAATCTGCCGGTCGATATCTCTTCCAAAAAGAAAAAGAAGTCGACGTCCCTCGACAACGCCCCAGAGCAAGATAAAACGGAACTCTTCTGGCAATTGTGAGCGGCTGAGGATTTGGAAGGTAAACGCGAGCCAACCTGCGAACCCGTCGTCTCAGTATGCATCGACGAGAATTTTCCAGAACGCTGCGTCGAAATCGGTGCGAACCTGAGCGAAACCTTAAAAGTCGAACTCTTGACATGTCTGAAACAAAACTCGAACACGTTCGCTTGGACTGTGGAAGATATGCCAGGGATCGACATAAACATCACATGTCATGAACTCAACGTTGACCCGACATCCAAACCCGTCAAACAAAAAAGACGAAAACTGGGGCCGGAACGCGCCGAAGCGGTCAACAGCGAAGTCGACATACTCCTCAAAGTAGGATCGATCACGGAGGTTCGGTATCCTGACTGGCTCGCCAATCCCGTTGTCGTGAAGAAAAAGAACGGAAAATGGCGAGTCTGC